CTCTCTCTCTCTCTCTCTCTCTCTCTCTCTCTCTCTCTCTCTCTCTCTCTCTCTCTCTCTCGTACTTATAAACACATCAATGAAAAGCGCAAAATTAAACACTTACTTCATCTGACATTTAGTGTGAACTTAATTCCTGTGCTAACCCTTCGCTTCCTATACACAGAATATGTGTCTAAAAGAGTAAATGAATAATAATTTTAGTCAAACTTTTTTCTTCATTCGTAACCTTAGTTTCAGATATTCATTACAATTAAAAGTTTTATGTATTAACAAAATAAATTTTAATTATATTTATTAAAATTTTTTAACATTTGTATACATTATTATAGATTAGAATTTCTATATTAGACTTACACTAGAAGATTTATTAAAACTATTTTTATTTTATTATATTTATCTCATTTGTAGACTATTTTGGGTGTTTTTGGATATATTTTGTATTAAATTTTAATCTTATCTGTTATAACGATTTCTATACACAATGAGTTGTAATGGATATTAACTTTAACTTTTGTTATAAATTTTAATATTTTTTACTGTATATAATGTCTGCACAGTATTATACTGTATTATTTCGTAATTTCAATAGTTATTTCGTTATTTTTATTTATTAAAATCCGAGAAATATTCAATTTCTCAAAGAGTTGGGCTAAAAATACACACAACAAAAGAGTGGATTTCTTTCAAAATATAATATTTTTATATTGAATATCAAAATTCATTTATTATTTGATGGAAACACACGTTTCGGTATAAATCCGTAGTTTATATTCATTTACATCACATAAATCTGTGTTGGAATTGAAGGCAAATACAAAAATAAAAACAACTTTTTTCGGTTATGTTTTTTAGTTTTACTTCGCTTTTCTCTGTCAAAACTTTTTACATTTAGTTTTATTATCGGCCAGAATATGGGCACAGAATAGTTGTGTGCGAATAATACATACTATGTTTTGTGCTGTCAATAAATTATATGCCAATGAATTATATTCTGTCAAATGATTTATAAAATTCTGGTGCGATATATGACTGAAAGTAATAATAAAAACAAACCGTTTTATTTGTCGCCCCAGAAAACAGCCCACAAAACACATCACAGTTTTATTATTGGTATTTAGTATTGGTTTTTACTATAAGGATGTATGAAAAAGACAAACACCAGTCCTGTCCTAAACTATTGCCCGCAAAACCAATGCGTTTGACATAAATGGCAATAAAAATTATATTTATTAATCTCTATATCTCTGTCTATATATTTGTCAGATACGTCTACATATGCCACCCGACGACTGCCAAGAGCTGGTGCACCAGACCTCGTGTCCTAAAGACCACAATCGGCCTGTTTTTGACGGCATTTTTCACACAATTTAGCCGTTTCTTTGACTCGAAGTACGAGAGCTTTCAGATCGAGTGGAGGGGACGACTGGAGTGGGCCTGTAGTCGAGATATAGCCGATTGGGTGCACAGTTTGGTCGGCGTTAATATCTATTTCCCCACGTATTACGGCTTTCGTATACTATTCGTGAACGTCGGCCCGTGTCTGGCGTTAGTGGCACTCAATGTACTGCTCTTTCGGGCGCTTAAGGTATGGTATGATAATTGTCTTGAGATGTGCTGTGCTATGGGATGCATGGGATGTGCGGCATATAATATAGTAATTTAGTCATTGAACGCCGTATGCCTTTGTAAACACTCATAAATCACAAGTTAATAATAGACTCCCAATTTTTGGCATCACTTTTGTAAACACTATTGAAGAGACAATTTTTACGAACACTTGAATTCATACTTTTATCATATATAGTATAATAAGACACATATTTCTGACAATTTATTCTCTCTCTCTCTCTCTCTCTCTCTCTCTCTCTCTCTCCTCATATTTATTATTATTATTTTCTTTTGTGACAAACATTT